GACGACGACGACGAGAGTCGGTTTGTCAACTTTTGGCTTCTCTCGCACATCGCGGTCCAGCTGAGGGACAAGGTACCGCGCGGTACTCACGTCAAGGGCAGTATTCCCTACCCCCGCGCGTTCACTGGCAAGGACATCGTCAGTACGATCCAGGCGCAGATCCAGCGCGACCTTGCCATCAATCACGGCCTCTCTACGAACGACCGCCGCGCGGCGTTGCAGGTCGCGCGCAGCCTCCAAAGCCAGTTATTCTTCTATGAAGTAGAGTGGGGTGGTCGCGTCCTCCAGGACGGCGTCGAGGACGTGTATATGTTCCTCGACGACCAGGAGGGCGCTTCTGACGCCGCACCCGAGCGCGAGGAGCTTCCAACCGGCGTGGTTACGATGCTCACCAAGTGCTACTCGCCGAGCTGCAACGATGAGATGCAGTGCTACTCGTACGTCTGCCCTCGAAGGGTGAGCTGCGATTCCTCTATTATCTCTTGCCGCTCAACGTGCTCAGGGCAACGTATTCGTATCCCCCGCGCCGGGCCCCGCGGAAAGCCCCTCGGTCCCACTACGCGAGGAGTGGCCACACACGGTGCCCAAGGAGGTGCTCACCCAACTCCCAGAGAGCGAGATCAACCGTCAGACGTGCGCAGCCTCTCTTTTTTGTGCATTGCTTATATTGTTCTCCGGTATTCTTCAACAGGATCATCCATAAGCTGATAAGTAAAGAGGACCAGTATGTGCAGGACCTTGACACTGTTGAGACGGTCTTCCTCAAGCCCCTGCGGACGGCGATCCCGCCTGTGATCCCGCTCGAGCGCTTGGAGGACTTCATCGATGAGGTCTTCGGCAACATCTTGGATCTCAGGGAGTGCAACCGACGCCTGCTTGAAGTAATGTACGTCCGGCAGCGGGAGCAGGCGCCCGTCATCCAGCGCATCGGCGAGTGCTCGGGGCATACCATTGGCAGCCTAGTGCTAATCACATCATACTTGCAGGCGACGTCTTTCTCTCTGCTGCGACAGAGTTTCGGCTCGCTTATCCGATCTACATCGGTCACCACCCGCTTGCGGAGAAGTGCCTGAAAGAGGAGATGGACGCAAATCCTGAATTCAGGATCTTCCTAGAGGTGCACCCTGTTGATGGGCTACCTCAGACGTGACGGGCTGACGACGTCGTATAGCAATGCTCGCGACAGGCATCCCGTGCAGGCGAGACGATGCGCCTCGACCTGAAGCACTTCCTGAACCGGCCCGCGGAGCATCTGCAGAAGTATCCTGTGCTGCTCGAGGCGATCTATCACGAGACGGCGGAGGGTAACCCGGACGCGGACTATCTTATGGAAGCAGTGGGTGCTATCCGTAACCTGCAGAGTGTCGCGCAGCTGCGGACATTCCAGTCTGCCATGGGTCGCGGCACGCCGGGCAAGTGGGAGTGGCACGACCTCGTCGCGGCGGATGTCCGAAAAGCGATGCCGAAGGAGGAACAGAAACGCCAGTCGTGAGTCAATATCTTTTGCCATAAGACCGCTACCAAGTTTGTTTCTAGGATACTATTTGAGCTAATCAAAGGCGAGATGGCTTATGTGAAAGATCTGGAAAACATACAAAACGCAAGTCCCGAGTCATGACACTTGTTTTTTTTGGCTCATCCTGCTACTAGATGTACATTGTTCCTCTGCGGGAAGCCAATCCCCCGATCATGCCGGCGGAGCGGCTGGAGCAGTTCATACACGACGTGTTTCACAACTTTGCAGACCTGCATGTGCACCACCTCAAGCTTGTGGAGAAATTCCATGAGATCCAGCGCGAGCAGCATCCCGTGATCAGCTCCATCACCGCCGCCATGTTTGACGCGGCACTTAACTTTCGGGACGTGTACATGGAGTATATCCCCAATTATCCTATCGCGGCCTACCGAATCGACGACGAGATGGCGAACAACCTTGATTTTAGAAAGTTTGTAGAGGTGCGTTTTCGCCTACCCCCGAAGTGGTCTGTTGAGCATATATTGATGTAGGACTGTGTTCGGCACCCCGATGCGCATCGGCTGGACATGAAGAACTTCATCAATCGACCCATCCCGAGATTACTTCGGTACGAGCTGCTCCTGAAGGGGATCTTGGACGAGACGCCACAGAACCACGACGACCGCAAGGACATTCCCCAGGTTCTTGAGGTCATCAAGGCGCTTGGGAAGGATACCGAGCCAGGCGTCGTTTCTGCGAAGCAAAAAGTTGAACTCTGGCGATACAACTCCAATCTCGTATTCAAGTCGGGAGAGGCCGTCGTGCGTATTCTGTGATATCTTTCGCATAGTGTTCATGATCCATGTGCGCAGGACATGGACTTGTTGGACGAGAACCGGTCTTTGATCCATACTGGAAAGGTGCTGCGCCAACCCGACAATACCATCCCATCACTGGAATGGAGCGGATGGAGCGAGCTGTTTGTGGTGCTCTTCGATAACTACAGTAAGCTTCCAATTCCTGTTGCAAAATCGAGGAACTCACCTGATATATACAGTTGTGATGACGAAACCTAAGGAGAGGGACAGCGTCACTAGATACCAAGTCAATCGACGGGTGAGGCGTCTCTCGACAGGACCAGGAATGCATCTTGATCCACGTTCAGCCGATTCCTCTAGATCTACTGACCCTTGGGAGCTTTACTGATCCCCCAACACAACGCGGTGCGGGTCTGCTGCGTAACTTGCGGGGCGCTGGGGAACGGCACGATACGAATGTCTCGGTTATGACGACACCGGAAAGCGCTGGGGACTCCCGTCTCGTCTATCCCTGGACTATCAACCACAATGGCCGTTTGGGTGGACCGCCGCACGTTCTGTTCTCGGAATCGCAGCAAGCACGCGCGGAGTGGAAGCAGAAACTGGAGGAGGCACTGGGGATACGCAAGGTTGTGCAGGAATCGAATCGGGTGTTCGAGATTGAGACACTCAGCGCGGATACGTTCCTGGTGCCGGCAGTGCAAGTTGGGCCTGCCTCGCCTCAGTGGAACCAGGACACTTCGTTCACGGGCAAAGTCACTTGCTCCGTCCCATTCAGTGTGTCGCGCTTTTATGTCGGATTATGGACCGGAACTCATATCTATTTGAAGATACCGCCGATGGACGTGGGTTGGTCGCGATCGGATGTGCAGAAGGCGTTTGGATTGGGTTCCGCCACGATCCGCGATGTAAGATTTGCGAACGTTTTTTTCTCATTTGCATATTCTGACCGCCGTTCAGCGATGCGCCGTGTCCTGCACCTCAAAATGGTCACCCAGTGCGCGATGCTTGAGGAATTTGGCATATTTCTCGTTCTTGCGGATAAGGTTCGTTCATAGACATGGAAAACAATGGTGTTTAATACGCACACAGGCGCTGTTCGCGTACCATATCGAGGCCCTGGTACCGTCATCACCGCATGGCACCCACGCATCACAGGTGCCTCAGAAACTGAACGGAACCAAAGATGTACACTTCTTCAGTGTTGGGACTCTCCACAATAGGACGCTCGTTATCTACATGAAGAAAAAGGGGGTGCGTGGCACTTTTCTTTTCTTGGGTAATCACCCATTTTTTTCACAGCTTGACAGCATCTTCCGTGTTCTGGAGCCCGTCGGTGACAAAATCAATGAAAGAGTCAAAGCCCCCGCGGGCTTGGGTTCGCGTCTCGGCTTCCGATCTACAAAATCGGAATGGTTCCGGATTTACAGAGTGAGCTGAATTCAGTTGACTGCTTGCTCCCACTTACAGCCCGCAGGACTTTTTCTTACCATCCGAGTCCTTTGATCTCTATTTCCTGAAGGCGAAGATTGTCATCCTCTGCACGAAGGGCTTTGAAATCATGGACCTGAACGAGTAAGCGATTTGAATACATCTTTGCGTCTTCCAAACCTGATCTTTCGCAGTTTTAAAAGCGTTACCATTCCTCTCCGAGACGACGCCAGATATGCTCAGCTATCCAAGCGGTGTGATGCATGCCGTCCTATAGGAATGTTCCGATCCAATGACGACGGATTCCTTTTGTGCTACAATGGTGTGTTCTCTCCGCAGATGACGATCTCTAGCGTCTGAATGTGTTGTTAGAATTCGGGGTGTATGTTGACAGGCATGGTGACCCCCGACGAAATGGCGCTACTATCGAATGGGAAGGCAACGCCGAGAGAGTCGCCTTACACTCGCCCTACATCCTTCTCTTCGACCCTCGGTTTATCGAGATCCGACACATAGAGACTGGGCGCTTGGCGCAAATCATCCCGGGCAACGATATTCGGTGTTTGTGGGACGGTCGTGGCGTTAATTCAAGCATTGCCGCAACCCCAGGTCCTGGTGGAGAGCCCATCATTCAAGAAGCACAAGTTCATGCGGTGATGAACAGCGTGGATCCGACGCAGCCCGGAAGCAGGCCTTCACGGGCTATCGCCCAAAACGTCTTTGAGCTCATTCCTACTATTCCGTTATTTCTACCAGAGCAACCGCCGCCGGTTCCTCCTCACCCGCAATCACAGTACTTCAGTCGAAACTCGTCGTACTCCCCGCCCCAATCACCTATTCGCGCTTCTGGATCTAGCTGGAGATGAGCATGTAATGTGATGCGTTGTACATTATACCTTACTATGCGCTTCGTAGTTTTTGTATACTTTATGGAAATTTTGGGGGGTTCTATTGTCTATGTACAGACTTGGATTATGGATATTTAGAATACTGGTTGCCAATGGTGACAACCGATTATTTTTCAACGGCAACTGAGTCAAGCTTTAGCGGCCTGGGCCTGAAGAGACGAGGAGCTTGCAAGTGGATGGCAACCCGGACAGCTTTACACAAGACAAGGTTTGAGCTCGAGCCCCAGGGCAAACCCAGAAGCGCAAAACAATCCTGGACAGCAACTGATGAGAGGGAGTTTTCGAGTAGAATGGATATCCATTGATAATTGCGAACTGCCACCATTTGTTTGATCCATGAGAGGTGACAGACTATCCTTGAGGAGGATAGTCAAAAAGAACAAAAGACTGCCCCAGAGAGGCTCGAACTCTCGATCTCACGATTTGACAGTCACGCTAACTGACGGAATCAGGACAGACTCTACCAGGGAGCGATCGTAACAGTCGTGCGCCTTAGCCAACTGGGCCATGGGGCATATATTTCATGCTAAGATCGAGTGTACTTGATAGTGCTAATTCCATCAAAACCTTCCACACTTCGACCTGATGTGTGCCTCGAGACAATACCATCGAGATGTAGAAGGCGCCCTTTGCCGTCGTTTCCCTCCTCAGGTTCAACGGAATCATGAGTCGGCGTCCGTGCCACTATCTACGGCGTCGGAAACTCCTCCATTCCATGTAAAGCAAGAGGCTCAGTCTTGGGCTCCGGCTTATCAAACAATGGAGCGCTGTCGACTGCAAAGCATATGGGAGAAGGGCGTCCAGGATTTATATACGTGTGAACGACTGTCTCCACAAAAAAGTTTATGAAGTTTTTGTTTACGAGACAGATGTTCAAACATTGCGCACGAAAGCTCAATCTACGAGTTTCTCGCCGAGTCGGTAACGAGTCGGGCAAGCAAGAAAATACTCCTCGCTTAGTGCTTCGGGATTAGCTTCGAACACCGGCTAAGCAGTAAAATCACCCCTCCTGGCCAGAGTTGGACTTGCTTATTACGTCGAACCAACCTAAGCCGTGAATATTTGAATGTACGCAAGTCGGAATCGTTCACAGGATATGGGTCACCTGCTCTGGGAAAGAGTATGAATATAGATGAATATTTGTTGGGGCAGTAATCGCAATCGTGACTACCTCAGTCGCGAGCCTTTTGAGTAAGTACGATATAGGTAGATGCTAAGTAAAAGTAAGGAAAATGGCACTAGCCCGTGTAATCGTAGCAAGGAGGCGTCAGATTTACCCAGTAGTTCGGCCCCCCTCGCCACCATCCTCTCGTTCAAGATCCGTCCTTCTGGCTCCTTGCCGTGCACCAGCAAATCCGCCACAAAAGCACCAACCTCGTCGTCCCTGATTGTCGGCATTATCAATAGTCCAATCGCCATACGTGTCACCGCATACGTCTCCGCCGTCGCGACCCCACCAGGCTTGATAATCCAGGTCTGCCAAACATCCTCATGCTCCTTTGCAAAGTTCAAGCTCCACGTCTCCGTCCTGCCCTTCAGCTTCCGCGCCCCATCCAGAAACCAAAGGCTCTTTTCCTGGTCCGGTTCCACACTCAGGCCGGAGGTGAGCACGTAGCGGAAGCGATTCCGTCGGGGTGTTGGCAAGACGGGGAGGAAAGCCTGTTGAAAGGCGAGGATGAAGTTGTAGTTCGTGTCTTCGTTTGTGTCGGAGGTGCCCATTGCCCAGACCATGGCGTCGGCGTCGGAGAGGGAGGTTAGAATGGCCGCGTCCCAGTTCTGGAAGTCGGGTATGACGATGTTTGTGGTTTTGGGATTGGAGGGGGGCAGGGGTCGGCGGGTGAGGGTGACGACGGATGTGATGTCTGGGTTGAGGAGGAGGTGGCGGAGGATGCCGCTGCCGATTGTGCCGGTCGCGCCTGTGAGGAGGACTTTCATGATTGTTGGTGGGCTGTGGGATGGCGAGATGAAGAAGTAGACGGGTTGGCTGCGCGAGGTTGCGCGGTGGTAGATGAAGGGACAGAGGAAAATATTGCGCTTTGATTCCGCGTAGTACTTTGGTACGGGTTCTTATTTAGCGCCTCATCAGCTCATGTTCTGGCGGACCATCACGGTGATGGTTTTCCAGCAGTAAAAGCGAGGCTGACGTGGCTTTGCGGCTGGTGCCGCGGGTGACGCTGGTCGGCCCACCCTCACCTCTTTGGTGACGAGGGCCGATGTGATCAGGCCGGAATCTGCCGGTATACTGTGCCTGAGATTTATTGACGAAAGGCTCTGCTTGAGCCTGCTTGAGCCCGCTACACTCCGCAGATGCTGCGGGAGGAGCCGAGGCAGCCCAACAAGAGCAGCTGGTCCTCATGTCTGCCCAGACACGACAGTGGTGGGGGCAAAAAGATGTGAGGACGCCGAAGGCTCCTAGTCTCTTGAAAACAGACGCTACAACATATTGAGCTCGTGCCTCGCTTGTTGTAGAAGGCTCCCAAAATCGGACTGCGCGTTATCCTGAGGATGGGGTGACAAGAAGAGGTGTCAAAAAAAGTGTCCGGCCGACGAGAACCAGTAGTGACAGTGGGGTCGAGTGAGAGAGGATGGCGGCAGGACGGAGAAGATGAGGTCGGATGGAGATGCAGAGATGGTGAGATGTTTCTGCCAATCTCATTGGTCTATGTTGATATAGACAAGATAAAGACCACTCATCATCGGTCCCAAAAATGGGAGCGCCATCCTCCGCAAAAGCCAGGTCCTGGGCTCCGTGTTCGTTCAAGATTGCTGGCTGAGCGCTGAACGTCGAACACTCACTGCGCTGGGCGTCTGCAGAGACTACATCTATGGTTCCGGTACCGTGTATTTCGACAAAAGATATTCGGAGGGCTCCCCAAGTGGGTGGACTGGAGTTTGTAGCTCAAAGCGCGGGAAGAACGCAGTGCTCGTATTCTATAAATGCAATACTGGTTAATTCGATGAGGAGTTAGTCGTCTGGACAAGCGTACACGAAAGAAAATGGAAAAGGTTGTTTTACAGGCTATTGCGAAAATCAAAGAGTCTCAATCGCTCTCCTCACCTCCTCCGCTCGGACTTCAAACATCCCAAGCTGCCTCTCGCCATCTCTCTTGAACCGCTCATACTCGATCCCCATCTGATATCGAATCCACTCCTCCACGGTCATGTCTTGCTCAGCCTCAGTCAAAGACTCGAGATTGAGGAAAGGGTCGCTCGCGAGCGGAGGGACAAACGCAAACCCTTCGGGGCTCCCCTGCATGACATTCCGCCCTTCATCCGTCCGTACGGAAGAAACGGTGGCGACGTGTGCACGCGGTGGGGTGATAGGGAGTGGATCCGGTTCGCGTTCGACCCTCATTGACTCCTCGACCTCAGCCATCTCCACATCATCGTCCCTGTCGTCCATCACCGGGCTAGGTGGAAGGCGCGCTATTATCTCCTCAACCACAGACTTCTTCCCCTTCCCCTTGCCTTTCACCTTCGGCGCGGCCTTCATCGTCTCCGGCTCCTCATCGTCAGTGGAGATTTCGACGACGGGCAGCCCGTCATCGCCCTCTCCGCCGCTGCCGCTGTGTTCTTCCGGCTCGCTATAGTATTTAGCGTCTTTTTTTGCTTTCGACGTACGTGCCTGCGAATGCGACATCGAGCGCGGTTTTGCGGGCGAGGGAGACGACGGCGATAGTTTGGATCTTGGTTTCCTTGATGCCGAAGCTTGAATGCCCGCCGCCTGCAAGGAAGACGGGCCTGCAGCATGGGATGTCGGCTGTCTCGAGAGCTGCAGCGGAACGAGCACGGGTGGCGTATCAAGCTCGTCGGGCGTCTGCATGTCCAAATCCAAGTGATCGTGGCTTGGAGTTGGATCACGAGTACCATTCGCTTTCGTTTTCGCCGTCACGCTCGTGCCGCGGGATACCGGAGCAGTTGTCGTCGATCGGTTGGACGTCTTTCTCGCCCGCGTTGCCGCAGGGGCTAGCGGCGCCAACGCTAGCTCCTTTGCCTTCTCCTCCACGGGCTCCGCTGTTGACGCAACGAGCTCAAACTGGTGAACAGTTGGTTTGGGAGCGGATCGAGAAGACGGCTTGCGGGTCCTCGACGCCTTGTGCTCTTCTAAAATCTGCGGCTCCTCCTGTACGGCTGCCACCGAGGCCGCCAACTCGAACTTTGGGAGAACAGGTTTCGAAACGGACCGAGAAGACGGCTTGCGGGGTCTCGAGGCTTTGGGCTCTTCCACACTCTCGTCGACTTTAGAGGGTGGCTTCGACCTGGATTTAACCGCGGGAGGCCGTTGAGCCGAAGGTGGTGGTAGATACTGTTCCATCTCATCATCCTCCTCTGGTTCAGCAGCAGCCGGCTCAGGTGAAGCCTTAGCTTTCGCTCGGGACGGGGGTTTCTTGACCTCGGGTTCCTCCGCCACGGAGGGCTTGGATTTCGTGCGGGATGGTTTCCGCGCAACAGCATGACCAGCGATCGCGCCAGGACGATCGTTCTGCGATCGCGAGGCCGGCCTCGTCGTATCGCGTTCAGACTCCTCAGCCATATTCCGTGCTTTGGTTTTCTGCTCCTTTCGAGAGACCACAACGGGCTCATCCGGATCCGTGCCTTGATCCTTTTCTTTGGATCGGGACACCGACTTGGTCCTCGACCGAGCGGAAGGGGGTGGTGGGAGGGGAGCAACAAACCATCCATCGTCGGACGACGTTCCATCAGCAGGTGGCTGGGTTTTCGATTGCGAGCGCGAAGATGGCCGTTTCGCGTCAGCTTTGTCGTCACCGGCGGTTTTGGGTTTCGCCTTGGATCGAGACGCCTTTCGTGCGAGTGTCTCTTCTGCCGGCTGCAGCCCATCATCTACACCAGTCTCGCCTTCCCGTGTCTTCGGTTTCGATCGAGACGGCTTTGGAGCGGCTGGTTCCTCCGCTTTGTCGGATTCAACTTCCCGTGCTTTGGATTTGGAACGAGAGGGTTTCCGAGGAACCTGCGGTTCGTTCGGTTCGTCGTCGTCGTCGTCGTCAAAAAGATTCGCCGCTTCAAGAACAGAAGCAGGCTGAGAGACAGATTTGGATCTGGATCGAGCCGCCTGAGTTGGCCTCCTCTGACGGGTCGGAGGCGGGGGTGAGGCAGGGCGGCCCTCCTTGTCGCTGTCTGCGAGTTGGGTCCGTGAACCAGACTTGACCCGCCCGCGCTTCTTTGGAGGGGGGGTGATCGCTTCGTCTTCATACAGCGGTATATCCGGATCCCTGAGATTTGCTCTGGATAGACTTCGGGTCGTTGTCCGCGGAGTTTTAGCTGTGGAACTTGACGCAGCGTTGCGCGGTGTTTTTGCGACGGTCGCAGGGAGGGGTACGGATGCATCGTCATCAGAGCCATCATACGTCTTAGTAGGCATTACCACTTCGGTATGCAGTAGTGGCTTGGGCTTCGTAGCGCGTTTCGAGGGTTTAGGTTGCGGCGCAGCTGAATCGAAGGCAAGTGCAAGGAATGGACAGGGCGTCGACGACTTGTCTCTATCTCGATGTTGTTG